AGCTAGTACGCCCAGCTAATTTTATTTATTGTAGAGACAAGTTCTTACCATGTTGCCCAGGCTGGTCTTGAACCCACAGGCTCAGGCAATCCACTTGCCCCGGCCTCCCAAAGTGCTGGAATTACAGACTGAGCCACACACAATTTGAGTTTAAAAGTCAATGGTGAAGCCGGGCACGGTGGCTCATGCCTGTAATCCCAGCACTTTGGGAGGTTGAGGTGAGATTACCTGAGCCCAGGGGTTCGAGACCAGCCTGGGCAACTTGTCAAGACCTTGTCACTACAACAAAAAATAAAAAATAAAAAATAGCCAGGCATGGTAGTGCACATCTGTAGTTCCATCTACTTAGAAGGCTGAAGCAGGATTGCCTGAGCCCAGCAGGTGGAGGCTGCAGTGGCCATGAGTGTGCTATTGCACTCCAGCCTGGGCGACAGAGTGAGACTCCAACTCAAAAAAAAAAAAAAAAGTTAAGTCTCCATCCCAAAATGGACATGGGATCCGGGTAACATTTATGTTTATTTAGTATACATGCTCATGTTCCCCCCCACACACACTTCATGAATATTCATAGCTCTGCCTATAACCTGTTGAATACCTACACTGGCCAACCATACACTTGGCCAACCAGTTCAGCATAAATCCCTGCCCTCAACCCTCCTCCCTCCAAGTGCCCACCTTTGAACTCTGCGAGAGGCCTCCAGCCCTGTCGGGATGGCCGCTTTGCAGGCTGTAACCCTTTATATGAAATAAAGTCTCCTCTCCAAATTTGAAGATCTCATGATTTCTTAGTTGATGCTACTATATTATCCTGGGCTAATAACAGTAAAGGAACCGCTTTTTCCCTTAGAATGCTTCTTGAAAGTATGCATACAGATTATCTGTTAGAACAAGGCTTCTTTTTATTAATTATTATTTTTGAGTTGGAGTCTCACTCGTCACTCAGGCTGGAATGCAGTGGCATGCTCAAGGCCACTGAGCTCGCGGCCACTGCAGCCTCAACCTGTGGGCTCAGGCGATCCTTCGGCCTCAGCCTTCCAAGTAGCTGGAACTACAGATGCATACCACCACACCCGGCTAATTTTTGTGATTTATTATAGAGATGAGGTCTCGCCAAGTTGCCCAGGCTGGTCTTGAACCCTTGGGCTCAGGTAACCCTCTTGTCTCAGCCTCCCAAAGTGCTGGGATTACAGGCTGAACCACAGAGCCCGGCCAGCAAGGTGTCTTTTTAAAATGCAGATGCTGATCCAGTAGCTCAGGGTAAGGCTAAGTCTGTAGTCCTGACAAACTCTCAGGCGATGCTCAAGCTTCCAATCTATAAGGCACGGCTCAAATAACAAGAATCTTTAATACACTTACTCTCATTTGTGGAGAAGCAGTCACGTGCCCTGTTCACCTGTTTCCTATTCCCTTTTACCAGTCACAGCTTCCTTTACTTTCATGACAACAAAGGACATGCATGCAACCACTGCTTTAGGCCACATTCTTCCCATCTTCTGCCAATTGCTTAGTTAGTTCAGGAAAATCTCATTCTCTCTGCACCTGTCAAGTAAGTTTTTTTGTTTGTTTTTTGTTTGTTTGTTTATTTTGAGTTGGAGTCTCACTCTGTCACCCAGACTGGAGTGCAATGGCCGCTCCCGGCCACCGCAGCCTCGACCCGCTGGGCTCCGGCGATCCTTCCGCCTCAGCCTTCCGCGTAGCCGGAATTACAGGCACGCGCTACCACGCCCGGCTGATTTTTTTGATTTATTGTCGAGATGAGGTCTCGCTGCCCAGGCGGGTCTCGAACCCGCGGGCTCAGGCGATCCACTCACCTCAGCCTCCCAAAGGCGTGGGATTACAGGCTGAGCCACCGAGCCCGGCGTAAGTTTTTTTTTAACTTTAAAGATGTGGGGTACAATTCAGGATTAGGTATACAAATAGTTAACGTACAGGTAAAATTTGGGCCTCCCTTTGGTCCCCATTTCAAGAAGGTCTTGACTCAAAAAATGTAGTTTATGGTTTCCAGTAGCTGACATGTTTGAGATGATAAATACATAATTAACTGTTATAAACCTTTTTTCTCCCTCTCCTCCGATAAACAAAAAGTGTTTGGACTTGGGAATTAGATCTTTGGGTCCCAATCCAGCTGACACTTCCTTTCTCTGGAACCTTGGGCAAGTTACTTAACTTCTCCAAGCCTGTTTCCTAAACTAGTAAAACAGGGTTAACAACAGCACCTATGTAAGAGAACTATCAAATTATCCTACAGGCTGTAATAACTGTTTTTCTTTACATAAACTTATTTTGTTTTACCTAAGTTGCTTTTTAAAGGAAACTTTATCATTTACCACAAACGAAGAGCGTATACCACTTGTCACGAATATCTGACCCATTTTTTCTAAATGCCACGAAACCAAATGGAGTCATTAAATCCCAACTGGGCACCGCTGCCTGCCAAGGCAAGATGATCTAGCCAGGAAGATAAGCAAGACGTGCTTCGCGAGAGCCATCAACAAGGACGACTGCGATTAACTGAGCTATATACACAGCGATGCGTTCCTTAACAGAGCTCCAGACACGGTGCTCACAACTCCGCTGTCGTTACAGGGTCGATACTAGTTTCATGCCCACTCTTTTTTTAGTGGGGGGAGGGGAGGTCCCAAGCCACAGTTTTCTGCAAGGACCTGGCCGGGAGGAAGAGCGGGATGTCTGTGGAGATTCACCACCTGGCCCGGGAACAGGCGGGCGAACACGAGAGGCAGGGCAGGGCCTACGTACGGGACTCCGGACGTCTCTTCCCAGGGC